TGACCCAGTTGGCTTCCGTTTTACGTTTGATGTTAGGATTAGGGCAGCGGATAATGGTTCCCGATTTTCGGGTTAGGGCTATGTCTTTAGGCTTAGGTTTTCAGGTTACGATTAGGGTTTGAGCGTACGATTAGGTTTCTGCATTTCGGCTAGGTTTTTCAGTTACGGCTATGTCTAAGGGCTATAGTTACGTTTACGATTTCGGTTAGGGTTAGGGTTTGCGTTAGGGTTAACGGTTGACGTTTAAGGTTGAGGTTAGGGTTGGAGTTAAGGTTAGGATTAGGTCACCGTCCGCTTTCCCATTCCTGGCTACGAACTGCGATCTAGCCGATTATCTTGTAGCATAATTCCAAGGTATTTCAGACACGCCAAAGTGCTGGCTTTTGAATACACTCCTTATCCGTTGTTCCGCGACGACGGCGGAAGCCGCACTGGCTTTTCAGCAGAAAACCCTGTTGTAGGTGATTATTCAGGCGGTTGAGGAGGATATGAGCAAAGATTTTCCCGGCGATATTCAGCAATGAGATGCCTCGATGGTTGTCGCAGAGTTGGCGGTTTCCTATCCGATTGTATAGATGGATGATTTTTGCATCTTTGAAATCCTGCGGGCCTTCTCCTTGACGCCACATCTCTTGCAAAAGCACAGTCAGATTATCCACGAGTTGGGGGACAACCGTGTTTGAAGATTTCAACAGGGATCGCGTTCTATTTGGGAGCTTTCCCGCTGGAGAGTTGCTGCACGGCCCTAATGGTTTCCTGGAGGGCGGGAGGTCGAGGTCCACGTTGGTCTCCACTTGCGGCAAACGGGCAATGGCGGCGTCAGAGATGGTGGAGGAGCGGATGAGGACGCCTCGGAAGTGCTCGGCCCATCGCTGTGGAATTTGTATCTTCTCAGTGAGTAGGGTACTGCCGTCGGCGCTGATGGCGGCGTCGTTGTCATCGAACCAGTCCTAGTGTTGGCGACGTGCGCGACCGTTGACGGCCAGCGCCGTTGACTGGACCGTGTCCCACAGTTGAAACCATCGGTTCTCCACGGAGACGTTCTCGTCAGCCACATCAGCGGCGGCGACTGGAAGGTTGGTCAGCCATTGAGCTGGTTCATTGCTGAAACGGAGATGCTGCGCAGGCAACGACAACAAAACAATATTCAGCTTACCCGAGAAGTTGCTTACCTTGAGGTCTCCTGCGAGGAGGAGGAGGAGGAGGAGGAGGAGAAGGAGGAGGAGGAGGAGCAAAATAAGAAGATGCATTAGTTAACACGCGTCTCCTTGGGCTTGCCTCGCGTTCTGCTTGTGCTCTTTTCTCCTTCCTAATCCAGTTAGTCCCCAAGTTAGGTATGTTAACTAACACTGCTTTATTAATCCAACCATATGGTAATAATTAAGTAGGGCTGCAGAATCAAACCTTGCTCAGTAGCCTAAGTCAAGTGTGAAAGACCCTGGCTACCACGACCTTCAGGCCCGGTCCCGAATGGGAAGAGACAGCGGACGCTAGTGGGGAGGATAACATGTTCTGTGCAGAATAACCGGAGAAGGACCTGGAGAGTGTTGGCCGCCGGACGAGGGCGTATCCGGCCCTGGGTGAGCGATTTCCCAAATGTGTGAGAGGGAATGCATCAAAGCGTCTTAAGCCAGAACACGACTGACTCGGCCTTGAACCTGATTGGCCAGTTGGAGAGCCGAAAGGGCGAATGTCAGACAGCGCTGTTGGGCACATGCAGACACTCGCGAGAGGCCCAGCGTTGCGGTAGAAGCTCCGAGTAGGGACACTACACGCATTTGTCGGCGAAAAGACGTTCGTGAACGGTAGCTGCGGTTACACGCGACTGAAAGTGCACCCACCAACAATTGCGGAGTTGCTGTCCGTCCTGTAGGCAATGAGGATACCGGGGCGTTCGTCACGGTAGGCGTCCATCAGCATGGCAGAGAATATGAGACTGAAGAGGGTAGGCGCAAGGACGTAGCCATGCTTCACTCCGTTGGTCACTACGAATGCCTCTGAGACGGCTCGATTGTCCGTGACTCGTGCCATCCTGCCATCGTGGAGCTGACGCACCATCTGAATGAATCGTTCGGGACAGCCGAATTTCTTCATGATTTTCCACAGTGCTTCACGATTCACTGTGTCGAAGGCTTTCGTCAGATCTACGAAGGTACAATGGTGGTGGCCTCGCATCTCCTGACCCTTATCCTGAAGTTGGCGGACGGCGAAGATCATGTCGGTGGTCCCACGATGATGGTGGCGGCCGCACTGGCTTTGCGGATAGCCGTTGAGTCGATTGAGGAGAAGGCGAACAAAGATTTTCCGGTTATTCTGAGTAGTGAGATTCCTTTTTGGTTGTCGCGGAGTTGGAGGTTCCCTTTCCTCTTGTAGAGATGCACGAGTGTGGCGTCCTTGAAATTTTGAGGGATGTGTCCCTGACGTCATATCTCCTGGAAGAGTGCTGTGAGGTGATTTATAAGTTGAGGGCCGTCGTGTTTGTAAATCTCGACAGGGATCGCGTCTGATACCTCTGTGATCATGTCTGATTCAACCGACCTCGGCGATGAGCAAATCGCGTCTCTCTATACGTGGAGATCTGCAACTGAACATCTGGAGAACTTGGCCCACTGTCTCCTCTAGTGTTGGAAACTGAGTACCAAAGATTTAAGAGTCACTTTCTTGTCTTGACGCACTGTATTGAGACGGGTTTTGAGTTGACCTACCCTGCGATGAGTCCAGGTGAGTAACTACGTTGGAGCAAAGACAGCGGCACTGAACTCACGGGATGGACGACGAAGAACGTGCCAAGCCACTTTACTCTTCTCTTTTTGATGGCCTGACATATCCTTTCAATATCGCCGCAGTGAGTGAGGACTGTCGAATTCGATAAGTCTGTACATCTCACTAGAAATGTGATAATCAGGTAACAGAAGTCATACATCTCTTGTTACGCCCATCTACGCTCTCAATCCAGCAGTTACGACCGTAAAGGAGAACAGACCGGACGGTTGCTCAGCACATGAGGATCTTCGTGATGAAGGAGATATCGTGTCGGAGTCGTACCTCGCCTCTCCCGCATTCGTCAGCGCCGCCGCCTACTCATGTCGCCTTCGATCCGCCTAGCACACGTGTCTCGACCGCCGGCTTGCGACGCCGTGACACCGGTCGGCATTTCTCTCTTCACCGACTGGCAGCAACCAGACAAATTTCGAGCGCATGCATATTGGCTGACAGTTGTTCAGGGGCAAGTTGGCCGCAACTGCTTGAGGTGCTGCGTGTACACTTCCGGCCTCAGTAAAAGTTTGTCCATATACAGTGAGTGGCCGATCTCGCAAGATGTCAGCCGAAATTCTGAAATGCGTTTCCGATTATGAAGGATTACCGAGGTAGGGTCGTAATATTAACTGCCATGCCGCATGGTCCTTATAATAAGTCGGACTCGCCAAGATGTTGGTTTTTGAATGCACTTCTTCTCGGCCTCCTGTACACTGTACTTGGCAAAAAGTACTACTTAAGCAATATGCATTCTTACATTGAAAATGTTTTCCAATTCCCAAATAATCTTGAACCCGATCACCGTTTCATCAGCATTTAGCGATTTCAGTCAACAAGGTGTATATCTTCCGCATGTGAGAAATCATATATTCCTACAGTGAGTAACCGATCTCATGAAATTTTAGTCGAAATTCTGAAATGCGTTTCCGATTAGGAAGGATTACTTGGATGGGGTTCTAATATTGATTCTCCGGCGGTATAATCCTATAATATTTCGGACTCGGCGGGATGTCGGCTTTTGAATATACTTCTTTTCAATCTCCTGTGGAAACCGTACTCGCTAAACTATGACTACTTATGTAGCATGCATTTTTCCCATTGATTTTCGCTGGTCGTATAAATTCGAATATATTTTGTAAAAACACGAGCAAAAGTATGCCTTTTTCACTCGTCTGATTAAGAATCACGTCATCTTCATATTTTGTACTCGAAGAAGGAGTATAATTAGGTCGGTGGGATTCGAACCGACGACAGTAAGGTGAAGGCTTAAGTACAACCAACGCTCTAACCACCTGAGCTACGAGGCTCCACCGGACGACGCGAGTTTAATCACATTTGGGTCAAGTTTCCCCTCCCCCCCTCCCCCCAACCTACTGCAACGTCTGTAATCCACAAAATTTGATACAGTAAGTTGACTGCCCAAGCAGGATTTCCTAAGTAATTCACCTAGAATCCACCAGATGACTTCCAGGCTCACGAAGTCATTTGCCGAGTACAGTGTACAGAAGGACGAGACGAAGTGTATTCAAAAGCCAACATACTGGCGAGGCCGAATCATTATAGGATTATGTCGCAGGATAGGCAGTATTACAACCCCACCTAGGTAATCTTTCCTAATCGAAAATGCATTTCAGAATTTCGGCTAACATTTCATGAGATCGGTCACTCACTGCAACCGCCTTCTGACTTGGCAACCTTTACATTGTCGACCACTGTACCTCAGCAGGGTAATGGACACTTTCTATGAATGGCTAAAACCTTTCAAACAGTATCGATTCGAGAGATGATGCCGCAATTATTCTGTCCATTCGACATCAGCCCCGCCCTGAGGCAACTGAAACCGTCCATTTCTAACTGATTACTGGTAATCGTGAGGTGCATTCCCTGGATCAGGGACGCAGCTCAAGAGTACTGTCGCCTTCGCAGCGTTTACTGGTGCACAGACTGACTTGGCAGTCTCATTCACCGGCCCCACCACATTATGCGGGTCATCAAAGCCTGGCGCTGGTAGGGTAATGTCGCCAATGAGGTCGAAATCAGTCAGCCGGAATTCGGACACAAATCAACACCGTCACTACGTCGTAGGCCCTTATGAGAATCCAATCAGTGGCGTAATTGTGAAGAATGAACGGATAAATGCAACCTTTCAAACGCCAGCTGGGATTCTAAATGACAAGGGAGGGATTTTGTGGAACATAGCTTGCGCAGTGGAGAAACAGTAATAGGCCTTGGCCACGGCGGTAACTTATTTGTCGGTATACCATCTAGCTCTATTATCTTTCACAGACTCAGGAAGGAAGATGTCGAACAGTGCGCGAAAACGACAAGGTAAACAGCTATTGGTTGCTATTAGTCGCGACGAAGTTAAGAATGTGGAGCAGTGAAAATACCTAGCTCGGACATTCAAGTCCAGCTTGTAACTCGGCTCGGTTGGGGAAGACACGTTTTCATTTAGTGTACTCATTATTTTTTACAACCTGCTCGAGTTGTTTAAATTATCTTAAAGTACATACGTGTCGACTTTCATTTTTTTGCATTGTCTACCAAATTGTCCCAGGTGTTATAAGCACTGAGGCCATTTTCAGACATATCGCTACTGATCGGTCCGCGTTTAGCTTTCGATGTGAACAATGCTCCAATAACTCTGTGGTGTTAAACATTTGATTGCAATATTTAGAAGAAACCGAGGGCTCCTCGTACATCCATCCGTTTCCTTAGCAAACAGTCTGGTTATCAAACCATTTGACTCTCGCCAAGATAACGGCTTTGGGAAAACGACTGCGATAGCATGGATTCTCTTAAACATGTCTGAACGAAAGGGACATCCCTCTGCGCTCTTTGTGCAACAACGATAAGCCTGGGACGGGCGGTGAGCTTATTTATGCTGGAGGTACCTGGCTGAAGTACAGTGAATTCCGAGCCGGATCCTTTTGACCAGAGTAGATACCGTGTTTAACGATACCAAACAACATTCTTTAGCTGAGATCGCTATGTGAGACAGGAGGAACGCTGAAGGCCGTTTCGCAGTTGAGTAAGAACGCACCGCAGCAGTTGCATCTGTCAAAGTTGATGGGTCTATCTACAGGGTCAATAGTTTAATCGCCTTAGTCTTCGGATTGGTTCCAGTAGTCACCTTCAGAGGTAGGAAACCATCAACAAAATCAACAACTTAAACGGAATTATTCATCCGACTCGGCATCGTAACGTCGGGGTTAGGACTATCGATCATCGTGACAGTCACCGGTCCTGTGACAACGTAGCACCAGGTATGCGGGCCTCAGTTCGACACATCTGTTTAATGACCCTCGACTCAGTGCCCACACCCCAATCGTTTCGTGCGCAATTTTGATGGAAGCCTGCTCGATTATCGATGGCAGAAAGATTGAAGGTGTGATAATGTTATAGACAGTAAGTAGTCACGAACTATCGCGGCTCTCCACTTTTGGGTTGCCCTTTTATGCTTATGCAATCTAGCCTCCCGTTCTCCTCCAGTTTGACCTATATAGTCGCAGAGGCAGAAAGCGCCCGACTGCCATACTGGACTAAACAGTCGTATAGTGACCGGAGGTCGGTGTGCCATCCCGTTTCTCTCGAATTGTCACACAATGGGAACTTATTCCCCCATGACGGTTCTCCTCTGAGACTCCACATAAAAGCAATTTTATTAGCACAGTTTTGTGACGCGCGTTGTTTTTCTAGGACGCCATGGGCTGTAATATTTCAATCAAACATTTTCATGGAAGTTTCTCAGGAATATTGTGTACAGGAGGTTCCCGAGACCGCTTGAGTTTGTTTCCTCTAACGCTTTGGTTCAGGAGCTTAACCACAAGGTAGTAGTACTTACCTGTAGTTACTACAGTAGTGATCATGACTGATCTAGCCGGCCTTGATGATCCCAACTGTGAATTGCAAAATAACTGTTTCGGTTTACGGCCACCATGTCTCACTTCCGTTACCGAGTCTTACGGCAGCTAAGGACAAAGTCTGCATGGCAGATCTTGGTCTCCTATTTCCCGGTAAAACTTGTCGCTGGTCCGCAGCTTGGTTTAACAGACCCTTGAGCTAGTTCTTTCTCAGCTGTTCAACTATCCGCCGCCCGTGGGCAAGCATGATGTCCAGTAGCCAGGCTAACGGGTTAGCCCGACCTATTTGAAACACAGTTTATAAGCACATTGCTTACAATCGCCACTGGAATATTTTCAAAAATAAACGATCATCATGTTTGCGTTTATCATTCTGTTGTTTTTACACCGATGGCAGTGGAGGCTCCAAGCTTCAGTGAGAATAAAAGGCATTCGCCGCCTGTGATCCTCCTGGAATGCATTTACCCGCACGAATCCTCGGTTGTGTGATAATTTTCTCACAGCCGTTTCACGTGACTACTATTTGCATTGGAAGAATGCTACCGAGCCAAACAAACTAGATGTCTACTATGTCAAATGGAAAATCTCTCTAGATCAACGAGAGATTTGCGGCCGTCCACCACCACTATATTTGGTGACGGCCTCAATAAAGCCCATGATATGTCGGGATCGGTCGGACCGTTAATCCTTTTTGATAAGGTAGAAGCAAAACTGCACCGGTTAGCGGATACAATCCAGCACGAACTCAAAGATGCCATCGAGCAAAGATGTGATGTTTGAGGTGTTTTGGTAGTCCGGACAAACTACATCTCCCAATCACAACGCCGCTCAGTGCGCACACAGATATTCAAATGAACTTTGACCACATTGGCTCACCATTTATGTGCTTATTGACAGGTGTCTAGACGATATTTGCATATGTACTACCACACCGTAACGTTAGCTGAGTGATCCATCGCACCCAGTAAATTAACTTGAGCGTAACGTGTTCGGTCACCTATTCCGGTCCGCCCCGCGGAGCTATCGCTATCGTCCCGGATGCTTTTACCAGCAGACCAACGTAAAGTACGTCTGAGCCAGCCGGATCGATGGGTGAGGAGACTGCATTCGGTCGAATGGACCGCCGACTGTCCATGAGTTCGTAAGTTAGAAACGCTGCCAGACTGAGGAATTTAGAAAATAGAGACGCGCAGTCGATTGACGGCAGATAGGCTCGTCGCACATCCGTTGAGAAGAGGCACTGAAGGAGTCCTGCGTTATTTGCCAATATGAGGCCAGTTTTACGATACAGCTACGGAGGAAACACGGTGGAACAAGAGCTTTGTTGTGGTAGAGGTACGCTCACCGACTGCGTTACGGACCTCACTCGTTCTCCTGTGCCTTGGGGTTCTCTATCCCAGGCCGCGTCAGCGGCGCGTAATATAGACAGAACTGCGTTACCGGCTAAGACAGGGGGTACCAGAACGGCCACTTCTGGGTTACTGGAAGCCACAAGCCAGTCATACCCAACCCCAAGGTGCACAACACTTGGAGCTCGATCCAGCGACCTGTTGGTTCGAAGCCCAACGTCCTAGCCACTGCCCAAGGCACCAGATCCACACTCGAACTCATAGCCAGAGGTAGAATCAGACAAGGGCAGTGAGTTGCACGGCTGATACGGTATTTATAGGATGCAGTCACTCTGCCACTGCACGCCTACCAGCGTTAGCAGTTCACGTATTTATCGCAGTTCGTTGGATGTGGTGCGATAATTGCCTTATTTCCAGCAGCCAGGACGCTGATTGCCGAGATCTTATCATTCGTGTGGATTCTTGGGGAATTTGACTCACTGGCTCCGGCACCAGAAACAGTAGTCATCTACGGGCTTCTTACATGGCTAACTAATTCACCCAGGCAGTCCTAGCACAGAATACGGGGGAGGCCATTGCACTTCCAATTAACTAAGGGCCGTAATACCATGATTGGTGAGGTTCGCAGCTTACGTAGTTGATAACTTTCGCGAGGATTTCGGCCTTACCTAATTCGAACGTGGTGTCCAGTCCCGTAAAATGAATCGCGACTTGGGGACTGACGTCGCCCCTCGTCGCTGCTGCATGCCTCGCCAACCGTGTCCAGAGTAGCCTTCCTCTTCATTCGAAAGTCGTTTTGCCCACAACTACATCAGACCCGGCAAACGACTTCAAACGTCTGTCGTGGTGGGTTATCCGGTCTCATGACCGGGCGTCTCGAGGTTGCCTCCGGCAGGCGTGAAACCCAAACTCCGGAGAAGAGGACTGACGGATTCCGAGACTTTCATGACGTACGTGAGTGTACGCCAGTGCGTGTCCGGTTGGATTTACTCTCGTCTCGGTGACGAAGTTGCGCGGGCAACCATTCGCTCAAAGGTCCTGTCGAAGATACCGTGATTCCACAACCTCGTCCTCTAATTCATTGCATTTTCTCAACACGCCACCCCTACGCACATGCACGTGTGGATGACTCCGTGGTCGCAGCTGTGGCCTGGTGCTTGCTTCGAATTTACCGCCTTCGGGAGTACTTTGGTTCTTAAGACACCATAATCTCTGCGGCAGATGCAGACATCTAAGGCAGGCCGGTCGTCCCCCTCTTTGCCGATCGTGAATTGTATTCGTAGACGGTGGAGACATTCTTCGGAGGCCGGCATCCGATCTCGGCCGACGACAAAGCCAACACCCCCATTCCCATCTAGACCTCCCTGTTGATGGGCCTGAGCACAAATCCAGAGCGTCAGGTGAGTGAACCTTCTTCTGACGATCCCACCTCTCTCACGGGTCCTACATTGCCCCAACCCCCAGGCTGACACGGGACCGACATTTGAGCGCGCCCCGTTTCCTGTGTTTAACGGTATCTTCCGCTGCCCATTAGGCAAGACTTAGGCTCAAGGGCACACCCAGGCCGGGTCAATGGACGCAACCGACAAGGCTTAGATCCATAGCTCAATGGAGATAGCGTCCTAGCCGGCGCTTGGGTTCGAAGTCCTCCAGGCCTTCGGCAATACGACTGCCGAAAATGGTCGTCTGTCCCACCTTGTCAGGAAGACCTCAGCAGACGCTGCCAGGCAACACGAGGGCCCCTACGCCTACTACGGTAGGCCACGTATCGCCTAGGGCGGGACCGATGGGATTTAATCGCCCAGCCCACTCGACTTACCTGGACACCACGTCACGCATGTGCGAGTAACCGACCAACACGATGCTGCCTGCGCGCGCGCAAAGCACTACCCGTGTAACCCGACAATCCTCGCCAAGGTAGCCAGCCCGCCGCGCAGTTGGCGAGCCTGAGCGGGAGGTAGGGACTGCAGAGGACCCCCCGTGCCCCGTCTGCCATGCGAAAGCAGATAACCCGTACAGTTAGTTCTGCCTGGGCGAAGCACGCCAAATTCTAGTGCCGCCAGTACATAGAAGTCCGTCACCTCATGCAGGGCACATATCTACAGAGGATCTGGGCGACTTACGCACTCCATACCGCATCTCAGTTTGCTAATCTAAAGTGTTAAAAGTCCGTCGTAGCAATCAAGTTAAGGATGTTTTGTCACGAGTGATAACGGTACAGTACTATGCTACCTGACACCGACTGCATGTACCGCATAACCGCGACCATAGCACACCCGACCTAACGGCGGTCATCATGCGCTGGGGTTATCAACAAGAGACAGGCGACTGTCAACACTGCAAATTGGAACTGGCACCGCGCCCCTCCCTATCCCTATTGTAAGGCACGCTTACTAAGGTCCCGCCAAAAAGTCACGATCCGCACAGTATACTCTGTAACAAAAAGGACCATGTGTAAATAATGTATTTGCCAGCCTTTATAACAGTTCGGTGTAAAATTTAGAGGTATTGCACAGAAAGATAAGCCACCACAATCGCCTCAACCGGTGATACATGTAGGCAAGGAAATAAGGAACGTCAAGAAAAGCAAAGGGATTTTAGATGCCTGTAACCGGGCGATCGGATGTTCCTATAAACTACATCTGAGCAGGACGACGGTGCAAAGGTAATTATAAGTGCACGTGTCGCCCTCATGTGAAAACAAGGGAATGTTTCGTGATCCTGCTCTTTAAAAGTAGCTCCTGTTATGTATTGAGGTGCAATGGCGCGCTGAGAAACTGACGGTGAATAAAGCGGAACTGTCTTTACACGATTACTACTGGCCATATCAATACGCCTGACAGGAAACGCATAACTGGATAAGACATAATTTATGCTACACTGAGAGCTGTTAAAATAACGAACGTATGATTGATAAAGTATACCAACAACTGGCCAATAACAGAAAGTCGAAGTAAAGAGGGATCCATGGCGACATTGGAACCAGAGTGAGCAGGGTAGGTGAAATTTCCGGCAACACAGATAGAGGGTTTGGATGTCGTTCGAACCAATAAAGGGCGGTTGATATATAATGAAACTGGGTGACAGCATGCAAATGCCAACGCGAAGCCGCTATTTGGTTGTCATCATCGTGACGAATTCTAAAAGACAGTCGATAGATCCGCACAATTAATACATGGAGGACAAGTCAACGGCGACAAAGGGGACAAGTTACCAACACCGAGACCGACTCAGATGGATGCAACACAACCACAACAGACAACAATGAACAAACTTGACAATGACCTACTGCCTAGTTGACGCGTAACAATGTGATGGAGCCAGCATTCCGCTGACTCAAACAGCACGCCGAAATATGGTGCGGGCGGAATTGTGGTCACACCCTCGCATGAGGGAGCTTGAAGGACATAACGACAGAGTTAAAGGCTCACGAACAAAAGCCAGATATTGCATATGACAGTCAATTCTGGCCGATATGCTGTCGCCAAAGGCACCTGCTGACGAAGCCTACCCCCCTCCCTCAGATTAGCGCAAACCGTTTAATGGAAATAAAACGGTAACGAGCATACTCTGACCCAGCTTCTTCCGAGAAACAAAAGTTGCGGGGTGCATAAGGGCCATTTTGGTATGCAAATATACAATTCAGTTGCAAAGTAGCATCTAAATGGCAATCACATCCACTAATATGAAGAGAGATGAAGATAAATTGTCAACATGTTTTGTACCGTGTAAATGCGATATGCCAGCAGGTCGTGATGTTTGTAAGCGCGAAGCGGGCCTTGAATATTGGAAAATTTGCATATATCTATGTATATAACAATTAATTTGTAAGTTAAGCTCCACGAGCTTGGAATGGCGACACGAAGTCATTCTGTGAAGAGCCGTGCCAGAAACAAAAGACATCCAGAAAAATTCACCAACTCCAAGAAAACGCGAAACTATAGACCTCATGTGTCCAACGAAGACAGTTGTCTATTTCGACTGCATCATTTTCACGAATTCTTCAGTGCGGCCATTGACAGCAAACAACGGCGATAACGGGAAGGACGGCGGCATGCAAGACAAAAAACAGCAGTAAGTGTAGGTCCACGGAATTTACGACAGCTGGACACGGAGCACAGGTACTTTCTTACCTTCATAATTGACTTGTCCATCACCATCGATGTCAGCTTCACGTATCATCTCGTCCACCTCCTCGTCGGTCAATTTCTCCCCAAGGTTGGTCATTACGTGCCTACAGTGAAGGCCTTCGGCAACAGCTATCTAATCATACCGTAATTCGGCGGCGGAAATAAATCCATTGCCGTCCTTGTCGAACACCCGGAAGGCCTCTCGGATCTCTTCCTCGCTATCTGTGTCTTTCATTTTTCGGGCCATCATAGTAAGGAACTCAGGGAAGTCGATCGTGCCATTGCCTATTACGCACGGTTAGGCATAACTAACGACCAAACCATCAGCGTCAACCTCGTTAATCATATCCTGAAGCTCCGCTTCGGTGGGATTTTGACCAAGGGAGCGCATAACGGTGCCAAGCTCCTTAGTGGTGATGGTGCCGTCTCCATCTTTGTCGAACAAAGAGAACGCCTCCTTGAATTCCGCGATCTGTTCTTCAGTGAGCTGGTCCGCCTGGGAGATAAAATTGGTATAAGAATGTTAGAACATGACATTGGCCGGCACAGATGGCGAAAGAGGCTACATACCATCACGAATAACAAAACCAGACAACGACGCGCCGGACGTCAAGGGGGAATCTAAGGTTTCGTCGCCGAGTACATTAAAACAAAAAGATTCGCTGAGCGAAATTTTCTAACAGAGTCAGCAGGCCCGCAAGGTTCGAGATAAGTAAAATACGCTGTTATTGCATTGTGTTCAAGGATAAACGTCAAATCCGCACTTTAAAGAGGAATGTGCGCCAAATCATCACTCTGTGGCCTTAGGTCCAACGCTCCAGCCTGAGTTCTATTTGCCCGGGAATTTTCGGAGTCCCCAATATTTATGTGACTTTTCATTAACATCTGCGTATGTTGGAAACGTAAACTGAGCACGGGGTTGCTCAGCGAACATTTATGGACTGGTGAGGGATAAAAAAAATTGATGACAGTCTGACAACAGAAAGGAAACTGACATGGTCACTGAAGTTACGGGAGGAGTGGCAGATGAAAGAATTGACCAGGACAAAGAAAAATTAGAAAATTGTTGATAGAAGCGGACAAACAGTAGAAAAAAGTGCCCGATGTGTACAAAGAAGAGGACGACGTATCCGTTTGCTAACGAATATGCCAAGACAACAAATCTACGCTAGGAACTTTTCAAATCCTAAGCGAACAACTGTTTCGGTGGGACCGCCTTGACTCCATCACAGATCAAACACATTCCTTGGTGAATAACATGCCGAACTTAAATTAGCAGTAGCTCAACTCGCGGATTTTTGCAGGGAAATTAGCAATTATTTGTGGCACATGCGCATTCAGACGCAGCTCCAAGAGAATTGGGATATATCTTGATGGCTTCGCCTGCAAATTAGATGAGAAAATAAACCGTAAACAGCGTTATTTACCTCGTCGGCAGCCTTGACTATTTTGACAAGGTCCATGCGCTGTCACTCCTGTAGTGAAAACTTAGTGATTTTTGTTCGTTCCTATAGTAATTGACAACCAACGGGAAGAACAAACGCGCTTATGTTGAGATAAATTTGGCCCAGTACTTTTCTGTTTTGAGTTAGGTGCGGAGGAAGCATTGATCAGTAACACTCGGAATTAGTCTGAAGAAATATAGGATGCAGACCTGGATATTTTTGTTTGGCTCGGATCCAGCAATTTCTTAAACTGGCCAGTAAGAGGAAATTGAAAATCCTGTGCGCATTCTGTGAAATTCGTCTTGCCAAAGCATCCAGACACTAGTAAGATTGCACTGGATAGAGACACGAGAGACACGTGGCCATGAATAGGTTGCATTTTCACACCCTTCAAAAAATGTAGCAGCCTTTAGATACACCCCTGGCGATTCCTACCTTGCCAACAGAAGCGAAGAGACGAGTCCCAGGAACTAGTCTTGAAGAATGAGACACGGTCGCTGGGACAAGAGCTTTATTAGCCTGACGTTTCGGGTTCCTGCTCGAACCCATCATCAGAGACAACAGCAGATACAGGTGATTCATGCACCAGGGGCTGCAGTATTTATAGGATGCATTCGCCATGCTACCGTATTCCTATGAACATTCACGGCTCCCCCTTTCATCCGGGATCGTTGCACGTGGTGTGTTAATTGCTTGATGACCGACGTTCGCGTCGTTAATTGCTGCAATTGCGCTCGAAGTGGCCCGAGATTGCTCCGCTGAATCCAGCAACCGCATCTGCCACTATCGCCTTCCTACGACACATCTTTAGCCAGCATGGCTTACCAGAAGTCCTGGTTTCAGATAATGGCTCTCAGTTTACCTTGTCGACGTTTGAAGATTTCTGCCGCTAGCACAGCATCCAGCATCTTCGCTCCCCGCCCTACCATCCTCAGTCTAACGGTCAGGCGGAGCGTTTTGTCGACACTGTTAAGAGAGCCCTTTTGAAAGCTCGTGGGGAGGGGACCACGGACGAGATAGTCCAGGAGTTCCTGTTTTCCTACAGGACAACACCTAACCCAGCCCACAGAGACGTACTATCACACTCTGTGTCCCATAACATACACTGGCCTGGACCGTACACAACAAGAGGAGGGGGAGGGGATTGGTTCGGATCCCACTGAGTGGGGTTGGGAGAGAGGCCAACTTAAGAAGGAGGCACTGCAGCCCGACTCTCATTCCACCAGTCAGCCGCTTGACACAACACATAGTGGGCTGACTGTGAAGTCGGGGTCATTGGTTACCTCTCAAGTCATGGCTTTTAGCTCGTCGAGCTAGCTTCAAGAGCGTCCGGTTTTTCATTATGAGGAAAGTGCGCCGATCTATCGACCGCACTCTCTCTTCCTGCCCCCAGACACCAGTCATCTGTCCAAGCCGGTTAGATGTGTAATGCGAAGAATGAGCGCAGTAGCTGGTAGAACTAAAGAGCCCATCTGTTCGCGCCATATGCGCGGCATGGTCACCAAAGGTACAAGTCAGCATCACACACACAAGAGGAGAGCACACTCGTATCTCCCATGCAGCGGAGGAACCACACCGACACAGGAGCCAAAAAGCACACTTCGCATGTTTCCGACAGCCATCATAGCCATGTATGGAGTCGTTGTTCAAAACCCCGTTACGTAAAGGTCATTCACCTTCGCAGCGAGCGGTCCCGGACGCGGTGACTTTGACCAACTTTAGCACGGACACACGTTTGCCCAGAGTCTCAGCTGCCTATGCACCACTTGAATATGCAACCCCCTGTGAACAAGCCATGAGCAAGCCGTTAGTTTCAAATCCAGAGATAAGCAGACGATATTATTTAAAACAATTTTACTAACAGACATAAGAGCTTTTGAATTTTGTTTTTCATAAAGATCTTAAAAACAGGCCTATTCTTCTAGAATTATCGGTTACCACTTCCCTTTTGAATTTTGGTAGACTGTGCCTGTTGACTTCTAGTAACATTATGCGATTCGCATTCTGTGCCATCAGACTCTGTTAAACGGCGTACATTTTTATAATATTAACCTTTTGATGAAATTTGGTCATCAGATCTGTCAGAAGTTTTAATTAACTGCAACTTAACACGAGATGAGATGAGAAGAAAATCAAAGGTTGGCAAAAGCTCTCGGCCTCTGATTTTAGGCATGTCTCTGTCAAATCTAGGGCAGAAAACGTTAGCAGCCATTCGTCACCCGCTGTTGCCGACAGGCAGCTTGATCTGCCTGCACCTTACAATCACAGCAAATTTATACTGAGGTTTGACACTATGCTCTCAATTCTAGGAAAATTGTTCGACGGGAACATCGATGTTCCCTCTCAAAAATGTAAACGCCTTGACCCACTCGTCCTCCTGGTCGCTGGCGAATCAAATCAGAATAGGTCAGTGTGCTTTAAAGCTAATAGTCAATGCTATTGAAGACCCTACTGAAAACGGACAAACAGTATCCAACTTCAAACAAACATTCTACTGAAATGCCGTCAGTAACATATGCAGGTCACAGAATATTGTCCTCCCGAATGCGGAACCGAAACTCGAGAACACTCAGTTGTAGGCGATAATGGTAAAACGGGATGACAGTCATCTGCGTTAGCAGTAGTAGCATGCAAGTCGTTGGTTTGATATAACAGAGTTGCTCTGTCCATTTAAGCGGTGTTTTTCAAGCGAAGCCACCGTTAACAGACACGGTTTACTTAAAATAAAGAAATAGAAAATGGACGGATGCTCGCATCGCACATTTATCAACAATATCCAACTATTTGTTTAAATTATCCTACCGGCGTGCACAATGGTAGATATTGACGGTAGTAAGTTAGATCTGGTTGTAATGACATATGTCGATGAATAGACCTGCTGAGCTGATGAAGGGACGCCCAACGGTGGGTTTCGCCTGAATTCGGTTATTTTTCATTAATGGGTGTACTGTGATGGCGTTTTGGATTATTTTTCCTTTGGTCATTTTTTTTAAATTGTCTACTGACGTCGTTAAACCTGTTCGTTTGTTTGCTTTTCGGTTTTTTGGTTGTGAGAAATTCGTGGTCTGTTAGAAACCCTCCGCATGTTGTTCAGTTAGACCATCGTCACTGTGAGATGCCCCCCCCCGTATTCTAGACCGTGGCTACGGTTGTGGCAATATAGCGACCACCACCGCCGTTCGCGTGTCTAAGAGCGTGGTTGCTGACTTTGGGAGTTTAGGGTTGATTGGAGACCACGAGAAACGGAGCACATGTGGCTGTCGAGGGTTCAAAAAATACGTAGCGTGTATTTTAGTCCGTTATGTCGCTGCGGCGTGATTTTTGAGTCGTCACTGAGAGTCCTCAAGATTACTTTGTTTGTCGAGAAGCTGTTAAGGGGCTAGCAACGTCGAGCATGAGATTTCATGTTCTGCGTTGGGACCACTCCGGTGATAAATGGCGGAAATATATTGAGATGTGGTGCATGTAGTCCTCGATGGTTGGATGTCAAAACTGGACACATCACAAGAAGAGTATTCCATAGAACTATCTGCGTAATTTTCCAGCTAATAAAGAGGAGCGTTTAAGAGGAAACGTTCGAAATTTTTTTCTGTATAGGGATGGGCAACCTGTCAGACCAGAGTTCGTGAAATGATGCGTCCTCTACTTGGTCGCCGGAGAGCAAAAACACATACCATACATGAGTTTCGATGTATTCTGACTCCCAAACTCGATTTGAGCAAAATCGTTTCGCAGAATCTCTTTAGTGGGTTTGACTGTGTGCCAAATAACTGGATGTTTTACTTGCGCGTATGAATTTTCAGCCGAAATGGGATCCAAACTTTCTTCAACGCCAGCAGCAACAAAAAGTATGCTGACTGTGCCACGTACGAGCCACTCTTGCGCTTGCCGGTTATACGACAAGTTATGGAAACGTCTTTAGTTTACGTGAACCAAACGAGTAGATTGCTGGAAGCTAGCGAGAGTAATTTACAGAAGAGGGAGTCTGCATCTAAGGCGTCAGGTTCTCCATCGATGTCAGCCATAGTAATGGAACGGCATTACGAAATATGTGGGGACACAGTCATAATAAATGCAAAATAGCTTAAACCAAAATCTTTAATTCTGAATGGGAATGAAGCTTTTAAT